GACCATGGGCTCGTAGCTCAACTGTTAGGACGTTCGCCCTGACGGGAGAGATTGCGAGATCGCGATGACGCCTAACAAGGCAGAAAAGGCCTTCCTGGTGTCCCCTGTGTTTGCTGGTAATGTCCTTCTGTTGACAATAATATATAGCTCAAAGCATATACTGGGACGTGGACTCCAATGCTAGTGGAATAGTTGCTCCCATTTTAATCTGTATATCGCGGCTCTTGTTAAAAAGGAATCTAGTTCGCATAAGCGAAGACATGTGGCGAACCCTATCAATTGGAACAAAGTTGCTAGGTGCTAACAACCTTCTTTGGGACCCTATCGAACTTGTTATGCAAAACTTATGTATTCGGTCAGAGGAAAGGGCACGGGCTGAGGGGCAGAGAGGTAATTACCCTGAAGTATAACTGAGGTGCTACTTACGCTGATCACAGTTCTTGCCGATGTAGCCAGGAGAGCAGATACAGTCGCCTGTCTTCTTGTCGCATTCAAAGCCATTCTCACATCGACACTTTTTAGTGCAGGTGGGTCCCCAAAAACCAGGCGGACAGGCTAAATCGATGAAAAAAAAAACAGATACGTCAGACACGTTTGCTGTTTTTCAAAGCATGTGAAGTTCTGAATTATGTATAAGTATAAAAGCAACAAACAATTCAATAAATTATGAACTGGAAGAATTGGGGTTAAGTATCTCAGACACGAACTTCAAGGGCTTTTAGCTAGTGCCTATGCCGTTGGAACAATACTCATAAATATGTTAAAATATTCATTGGAAATTCAATTCTAAGCCTAAACAGCCGTGTCTTGGTCACTTGATTCCATATTCTGAACTTAAAAATTTCTGAAATCATAATCTTTATACATACATATTGAAATAAAAATAGCATCGCGACTTACCAGTTTGTATTTCAACTTCATGAACCGGATCGTTTTCTGTGAACAAATAAAAGATTATCAGTTTTAAGCACGTCTGAGAAAATCTGTAAAAACGGAAAGGTTGGCTTTATAAGAGGGGCATGTAATCTAGATGGTTAGAACGCTTCTCAGGCTCGGGAGGCTGATCGTGACCAATAAGGTCAAGAATAAATCGAATAACATAATTCTATTTGTAGGCTGTTTGTCCACTTCACACTCTAATTACTAACTGAGGTAGTGTTTGAAGCTAAAAAGATCGTCTGCCTCATGTTGTTTCCATGGTCTAAGGAATTTTTGCATGACTATCAGACTGATCACTCATGGAGCTTTTTCATACGCTGTCAAATCTTTTACCGGATAAATATTCTATAATTATTTAAATTCATGATTTTTGTGGTAAGATTGTAGTAATTATTTGCCATTTATCATTAAAAAACTAATCAGAATATTTTCTAATGCATCCTAGTTGTTAATTTGCTCGAAAAAGTAGTCCAATGTAAAAACCTGCCACCACCTCTGACAACACATCCGTAGATTATACAATAAAACGGTAGCTCTGTCATATAAAGATAGGGTGGTAATCAACAAAATATTTAGTCCCACTTACCATGAGACGTCTTCGCTAAAAAACCTTCTTGGTTTTTGGCTTAGAGACGGGAACCAACCGGAAAAAGCAAGCTTGGATGCGAAAAAGTATTGCACCCTGGAATACTCCGGTATCCTTGCCTTGAACTCATTTCCTCGTCTTGGCCGTTTTAACTATCCTTCAACTTATTTAAGCGACTGTTTAGATTGTGGCAATGTACCAGGCAAGCAGATAATTTCTGAGCCCACAGACATGTGCTACTCGGAGCATATGAGACTCGAATTTTCTCGCTCAAGAGTGCAGGGAGGCAAGCCGGGGAACTCACGTGTCATGCAGGTCTTGCCCTTACTGCCATCGAAGCAGATGCATGTTCCATCCTCCGGGTCGCATCCAATACTGAGGGTTCCGCAGGAGCAGGTCTGCTCACAGTTCTTGCCATATTTTCCCTTCTCGCAGACTGTGGATCGAAAAAGCAAAAAAAAGGATTCTTAGTGAAATCGCAGCTCAATCCAAGTTTGCTGTACATAAAGGTTAGACCGCTGTTGTCTTAGATGAAATGCCAGGGTCACATTGGCTTCTGGTGAGCCTTAGTAATAGGACCACACTGATACCCAACAGGACATACGTTGATGAATATGAAGCATAATCAATGATTTTCAATATCCTCAAAGGTTCAAAGATATTTCATAGAAAACATATGCACAAACATACTTTTGTACTCACTCGGAAAAAAATTACGTCTTCTTCAGACTATACATGCAAGAAAAGAATAGCTTGCGGCTTTAAGAAACGTCTGATATTTCTGAATTACTGTGAACCAAATTTGCCGCTAAACTTGCATGCAAGGTTTCCAAGCACATCAATACCTCTTCCACAGGATTAATTCCATCTTCAGATATTTTGAAAATGTTATGATTTATTAACAGAAGAAAATAGCAAGTAACATTAACTTTTTATGCAGATTATTGACTGCGAATTTCACAGTTATAAGACGCATACCATGTTACGTACCCAACCCACTAAGTCTCAAATGAGCAGAAGAACATTACTTTCAAAAGCAACGGGGACTGAAATGACAATTTCTAGCCTATAAGCCGTGATCAGCCAGCTATACCTAATCGCAGGTATTGATGCATCTCACTAAATTGGCAGGGGAGGCCACTGTAATCGGAGCACAGCCGATGGGCAGGTTTGAATGACTCAAGTGGTTAGAACATTCGACGCGAACTTTGGAGGACCAACCCTCAGTTTTCTGCATAATTTATGCCAGAATAATACCTACTTACTAAAATTATGTAGGATGGAATGTTGTACTTCTAAAGAGGTTACTGTTGTTAGGAAAGGCGGTCGTTATGAGGTTATGGTGCACAAGTTTTACGTTCTGATAGTGAAGATTGCCGTGAAAAATAACAGATTCGCATGAAGTAAATGTGAACTGAATCTTAAAATCTTTTGGGGCCAAACCGTTAGGGCAAGTGAGCGGTGAACGACTTACTTTTATCGCAGTTATCACCCCATCTGCCAGGTGGACATTCCCCATTGCAACGTCCAGTTTCCGGATCACAACCTCTGGGACACTTAGCACACTTCTGGCGACAGTCCTGACCGTAAAAGCCTGGAGGACAGACTTGTCGACAGCCCTCGGAGTGGTAGCCAGGTTTGCACAGACACTTACCAGTCTTTGGTTGAAAAGAAGAAGAGCAAGTGTAAACTTATCGAAAACACAATAATCCGAATGGAGAAAAAATAGATGGAAATGCAGAAGAAGTCCCGAAAAGGACAAAAAAGCGCAGAAAGACTATTTCTGGCCCGCCAGCCGTCGTCAGGAAGGTGCGTCTTCCGCCTCTATAGTCACTGTTTGTATTTAGTCCAACAAACGGGGGAATAAAGCTAAAAATCCAAAGGAAAGAAGTCCCCTTCCCTCAAAGCATCCCACTTAGAGGCCATTTTTATGTGATTAAAGAAAGCTGCGTTCACCGGAGAAGCCAGCGAAGCAGTGGTAAACTGAAAATGCACAAGCATATTGGTCATCGAAATTAGGTCTGCGACCATAGGAACTAAACCAAGAGTGGACACAGTCGAAACTGGGGAAGTCAGTATATTGGAAAATAAGATACTTTGAATTTCTTCGTACTTTACTGCGATGCTGGACTGCTTTTTTACATTTTCATCTTATAAAAAAAACGAAAATTGGAGCAAGTACTTTGGTGGGACAGCAACTCAGTCAAATAATTTCCGTGCAGAATGCGAAGCAGATCAGAGGTTAGTTCACTTGTTTTCGTAAACTCGAATCTGGCTACTAGAGTTCCGTGGCATAGCGGTCCAACTGATTAAAATACACAGACTCTGCCATTAACCGATTTTCAATCAAACCGCAGCTAGAGGACAGCCAAGCAGTGAGTAAAGTCAACGGGTGCAATGCGAAATGACATACCTCTGGGTGACAGCCCTTGAAGTTGCTTTCGGGATCGTAGCACTTGGCTGGACAGGCATTGGTGCACATCTCGCCATAAGTGCCCTCCGGGCAGGTGAAAGCACAGTTGGCGCCATACCGCCCAGGTGCACAGGTGCACGTGCCGATCTCGCTGTGACAGTATCCGGTGGAACAGGTTTTGGGACAGCGTTGGTCGCATGTGGGCCCCCAGAAGCCGGGCGGGCAGCCCTGCTTCTCACAGTGCTTGCCGTGTGTTCTGGGCGGACAGATACATTCGCCGGTAACCGAGTGGCAGTTTCTGGAGGC